GTTCTTTGTCGTAGGTATCTCAGCTATTGTTAGTTGTTGGAAGGCTGGAAACACGGCGTTTGTCGATTGGATGAAGGTGTTTAGATGTTCGTTGTAAAACACCCAACCTTTTTCCGAAGCTGGGTATCCTACGAGAAAGCATTCATCGGCCCGAGTATCCCACTTGTTATTCCGCTTGTCAACAGGCTTGAACACCAGAGCTCGGGCGCCAAAAGGGAATATGTATTCCGGTACTGGCTCTTTGCCATAGAGAATCTCGATTGGTGTCTTTGGGAAAATGCGCGTGTGTGGTAACCGGTTATGTAGGTAAACGGCCACCTGTTGAGCGTAACTCCAGAACTTTTGTGGGAGTGATGAGTTCAGCATCATGACCCTCGCCATGTCGTTGATTGTCCTGTTGACCCGTTCAGCCTCTCCATTCTCCTCTGGGTGATAAGGTGATGAGTGAGCAAGTGTGATACCTCGTGCTTCCAATATGGTCTTGAGTTTCTTCGAGATAAATTCTCCACCGTTATCGCACCTCAGAAACCGAGGAAACTGACCCGTCCGTGTTTTGATTGTGTCGAACCACACCCGGAGGCGTTCAGCTACATCAGATTTTTGCTTCATGGGAGTGATTAGCGTGTACATAGAAGCATGATCTCTTAATGTGAGCGCGAATTGGTTCCCATGAATGTCTTCCTCAAAAGGTCCCATCACGTCGGATACGACCAGGTCCAGAATTTTGTCCTTTGGTATGCTCGACATGTGTAGAAACCGCTTAGCCGTATTCTTAGTGACCACGCATTTCTCACAAAAGAATGGTTTCCAGTTTTTAACGCACTCCGGTCCCACAAAACGTTCAAGGAACTTGAGCACAGCTTTGTCGTTTGCATGACCAAATCGCTCGTGCCATTTAATTGATTCCATGCTGGGTTGATTTGTCATTGCGGCAATAACAATTTCATTGCAAATCGGAGGAGTTTCAATCTTAGTGACTAAGTTCCAGCAATAGTTGGAGAAAGTGGTACGGAAGACACGGTGTTTATGGACAAGAGACATTGTACAATCTTTATCAAACATTGGCTGTAATCCGTATGTTGTGAGCATTCCGAGGACAAGATACGTAAGGTATCGAGGGAGGTGAAAGACATTCTTT